GAAGAATCGATTGAGCTCGAATCAAGAACGAAGCGCTCTTAATACGAACTTGGGATAAAACGGAACCAACGGACAATTCCACACCTGGGGAAAGCTCGTATGGTATAAAAGGGTAGCTGCTCGACCACGATTGAAGAGGATATTCAATCGATACAAAGCTCATAAGCTTGGAATCCACCAAACTCAAACAAGTCGCAACTTGCACAAAACCAAAGGTTTGTTTTTCGATTAATCAAAGTCTCTATTTTTACAACAAAAATAAAGCGGTATTTAAAGGAAAATAAAACCTAATACAATCCTAATAAAACTAGGCAACAATTAAGGTAAAAACAAACTCTAAAAAGGACTCAAAATTCGGCCATAAACTTCCCTTCTTGGCGCACAAGTAAGCTGCCAGCAAAACAGTCAAAAGGCAGCTTTCGTACTAACTTCGCTCCCTTTGTTCGAGGCCTTCCCGAACTCCAATTCTTCATCCGATTCCTTCTCTTGGTAGATAAACATACCTAGTTTCATGTTGTGGAATCCTTTGGACTTGAATCAGATCCATACTCCTCGAATTAAGCTCCAAATTAGGCTTCACAAAACAGTTTTCTGCCTTAGTCATTTTCTGGCAGTTTTCCAGTTTTGAGGTAGCAACTTTGAGGCCTTGGAAAACAACTTTAATCACATCTTCTGGATCCACAAAGCATACCATTGGAAACATGGAAACTTTGTCTGTAAAACAAGTCATTGAACTGGAATTTCCACCAAGCCAATTGAGAGAACCATGCCTCCAAAGTATGTACCCTGAACACGGATTTTGACTTAGCCAAATTCTGCGCCCCTAGGGGGTGTATTTTTATCAAAGTAACGCAGCAACGACTCAATCGAAGAATCGATTGAGCTCGAATCAAGAACGAAGCGCTCTTAATACGAACTTGGGATAAAACGGAACCAACGGACAATTCCACACCTGGGGAAAGCTCGTATGGTATAAAAGGGTAGCTGCTCGACCACGATTGAAGAAGATATTCAATCGATACAAAGCTCACAAGTTTGGAATCCACCAAACTCAAACAAGTCGCAACTTGCACAAAACCAAAGGTTTGTTTTTCGATTAATCAAAGTCTCTATTTTTACAACAAAAATAAAGCGGTATTTAAAGGAAAATAAAACCTAATACAATCCTAATAAAACTAGGCAACAATTAAGGTAAAAACAAACTCTAAAAAGGACTCAAAATTCGGCCATAAACTTCCCTTCTTGGCGCACAAGTAAGCTGCCAGCAAAACAGTCAAAAGGCAGCTTTCGTACTAACTTCGCTCCCTTCGTTCGAGGCCTTCCCGAACTCCAATTCTTCATCCGATTCCTTCTCTTGGTAGATAAACATACCTAGTTTCATGTTGTGGAATCCTTTGGACTTGAATCAGATCCATACTCCTCGAATTAAGCTCCAAATTAGGCTTCACAAAACAGTTTTCTGCCTTAGTCATTTTCTGGCAGTTTTCCAGTTTTGAGGTAGCAACTTTGAGGCCTTGGAAAACAACTTTAATCACATCTTCTGGATCCACAAAGCATACCATTGGAAACATGGAAACTTTGTCTGTAAAACAAGTCATTGAACTGGAATTTCCACCAAGCCAATTGAGAGAACCATGCCTCCAAAGTATGTACCCTGAACACGGATTTTGACTTAGCCAAATTCTGCCTTTCTTCTTCCCAACTTTGATAGCTTCTTTGTCAAGTAATCGTGACGTGAATGGTGGGCAATTTGGTTTCATATCATTTAGCTTGCATTTTTAAGTTCTTTAACTATCGACTTACTTAACAACAAACCAGGTGAAAGTAAATACATAAATAAAAACAAACCAGGTGAAATGAAAGCAAAAATAAAACAGTAGAATGATGGAGAAAGAAGTGAGTAATTAGTTACCACCTCTCCTTTATTCTCTCTTTTCCGGCTTCCCTTTTTGTTTTCTACTTCCTTTGATTGATACTTGCCCAGTGGCCACCACTGCTTTTCTTTTCTTTTCTCTCTTTCTTTCCCGGTTTTCACCAACGATAAATAAAACACTACTGGTTCACCCTTTACAATCTGTGGAGTGTGGACCGGCCGGTCTTTCTATTTTTATAAATTAATTACCAGTAAAGAATCCGTAAAATCGAGGTTTTTGGATCCCAGGGCCGTCCAAATTTGTTGTTTCGTTAGGTGCAGTACTAGACTACTGCAGAGGTATCAGCTTGCAGCAACTTCAAGGTCTTGCTTTTGGTTTGGCTCTTTCCTCCTTTGTTTTAGAAAGATATACGTCCAAGTGTCTTATTAGTTCGTATTAACAATAGCATTTCATGAAATCATACAGGAGCCTGTTCCAGAGAACTGGATCGTACACATTGAAGAAATGTGCGTGACGGTGACGGCGGTGGATTCAGGCTGTTGCACCGCCTGACTCCCCACCCCCGGCGATGATGTCATATATGCAATGCAACAATATTAGTTTTGCACTAGATAGAAATTCATTTTGTTACGATTTCGTGATGAGTTGCAAGTAATCATTAATGAGGTTTTCAACAGGGTGGAAAGTAAGATCGAACTAAAAGAACAATAAAAGTTGTCATATTCGAATTTATTTTGAGATGCGCATCTTCATGTAGTCCAAAGCCCATGTCATCTCCAATAACTCTAAGATCTAGCACAAAGATATACGATTGAGAAATCCGACGTTCTAAGCACCTGTCTCGATCCGGATGCATTCACCAAGACATGGGAACTTGATGATAGACTCCCATCAATACAACACTTCACATGTATACCCTGGAGGTGGTGGAGACCAGTATGCTTCCTGTACTTTTATATCTCCATGGAGTGGGATGTTGATTTCATGTACTTCCACCTCATAAGAAGGAATGAATTGAAGAAGACTAGGTTGGTTGGATTGGACCTATAAATTTTTGGATTTGATGATTGAGGGAGAGGGGAACAAGTGGCATGGAATGGAAATGGAGTGCCATTTTATTGTGGTCGAGAGAGTAGGTAACGAGACACTATACACTTGAGAAGAATGGGAGATGGTGGTGGAAGTGGGACCTTAATTACAACATTTTAAATAATGGGAGACGATTACTAATCCTCTTACTTTTGTTCCATTTCTCCTTTTATCATCATGCCTAATTATCAATCTTCACCGATCATCACCACCTAATTATCCATGTGATCTTTTTTTTGGTTCCCTTCTTTGCGAGGAGGTAAACACCTATAATAGCTCGAAATGAATAAGAACGCAAGATGTCGAGTATGATTGTACTCACGAGTTTCGATACTTGATATCGATTTATTTTTGTATTGTTGGAACGTATCAGGAAAAGTTACCTAATTCAGTCAACAAATTTCTTACGATCTCATTTACTTGATGCGCAATGGTTAGCAGGCAAATAACCGTAATTAATTAAGCAAAATTTTATGCAACAAACTCTATAGTCTATCAAAATTATGACCCACAAATCATATCAATTGTTGTTGAGCTTTGGAATTGGCTACTTATTGGTTATCCCTCACACACAAGTCAACATACAAATGGGAAAAGAGACCACACACCAAGAGAACGCCTTTACTTGCCTAATAACCTATTTACTTATGCACTCTTGATAGTGCATTGTCTCCACCTAATGTATGAAAATGATGCCTTTTGTGTGTTTGTTTCTTTGGTAGGTTATTATTAACTTATATATGTTATTATACTTATACAATACATCATTGTGTAAAATAATAATGAAACAATTTTGACAATTGGGGGTGGGTTTGTGGGGGTAATGAGTATGACAACAACAGCAAACAAGGTCTCATTTATGACTAACATGTGCACCTTTCTTTCAACCTCATTTTACAAATTATTATAGTTAATTCCCCTCCCATTTATTTAATTCCCCTTACAAAGGAACTATTATGAGAATCAATTGTACCTATAAAGTATGAAGAAAGGGTTTAAATTTAATACTTTGGTCCATTATTGATGAACTATGTCTGTTAGCTTTGGGATTGGAAGGTGTTAAGAGAGTTGCATAATTGGGAGTTCATGAATCATGGCCAAACAAAGCTACGAGGATTGGTCTATGACTTTTTTTTTTCTTTCTTTCTTTCTATTTGCCATTGTTTCTTCCATTTCTATGCATCTCCATCCATCCTCTAATGGCTGTATATCTTCTTTTATTTCTTTTTAAAGTCTCTAATGAATAGAACGATTTGTAAGTCAAATTTGATGTATAAATTATCTTTCATGATATGACTATTTTGAAGATTAGCATTCGCGACGGAAGGAGATGAGAGGATTTCAATTTTTTCGAGACCGTAAGGCTCTAGACCAATATCTCTTATGTGCATTCTGGTTTGTATAAGTTCAAAGAAGCAAGTAATGGATTTCGAATAATAAGGAATTAAGTCACGACAAATTTGAAAGTATAAAGTAAAACGCTGTGAATATGGATTGAATTGACTCTGAGTGGGTCTTCTTGGTCATGTTAATATAATTCATATATCGTCACTAATTGAATTAAATATAGTGACCGATCACATATGACAAACTAATTTGGCGGTCGTTTGGAGAACGAGATTTAGGGCATGGATTTATTGAATCCGTAGATTTTGTAAAAAGTTATGTTTTTATTTTATTTTTGTATTATGAATTTTAGCTCTAGAGATTTTAAATCTCTAAAATCTATGGATATCAAATCTCTCTTTCTTTTATTTATTTTTCATATTAAATATATTTATCAATAAAGTTTTTAATATTTTCTCGAACCAATCTAATATTTATTAGGGATAAACATGCTATTTAATATAAAATTAAAATTTTTATTTTCGTTGAATGTTAACAATCTAGTTACCAAACAATAAACATTTTAAAAACCTATTATCAACAATTCGAAGAGTTACACTCTTTAAATTATTGACAATATATAAATTTAAACTCATATTTTCCAAACGACCATTTACACAAAATCGTAATTTTATGAAATTATAATAGCCTCTCTATTTCCTTGGCTCCCTAATTGGACTACAAATCTCAAGGCCCAGCTTTTCACAGCTGCTCCTTCAATTAGCCCATTGGGCTAGGATCCCTTACGTTTATAGACTTGGCAGTCGTCGGCCCATATTAGAAAGCAAAATTAAGGATCAGACTCGTGACATTTTGACTGTCGACAATCGAGACTGTGGTTAGCTCCATACTGAGACGGGGTCAGAACGAACGATCGCTGATCGAAGATTCCAAGGACGGCGGAGTCAATGGCGTCGCTGCTGCCAGCCGTCATCCTCCTCCTCACGTTTTCGGCGGCTTCCGCCGTCGACGACAAGTGCGCCGCTTGCAATGCCGTCGCGGTATCTTTCATTTTGCTTTCCTTTTCATTTCATTTCCTTTCTTCGGTTCCTTGTCCTAGATCTTCGATCACCTGAACCAAATTAGCGACGGTCAAATTATGACGGCGGTGGCGAAAAATGGATTCTTTTTTGCAGGCGGAGTTGGAGATTGGGCTGTCCAATGTAAGATTTCTGCTCAAGTGCGTCTGCGAGTAATGTGTTTGGCTTATGGAGATAAAACCTTTTTTGGGTTCTTCATTTTGTTCACGTAGGAAAAGCCCAGGAATCATTTAGACATGAGGAATCGTTTGAATTCTAAAGGGCAAAGAGAAGGAAAGGTAATTGATTACAGGTATTGCCCCAATGCATCTATAACTGCTATGTTTTAGCAGATATATATGCAGAATCTTGTCCTATGTAGCACTGAAGAAAAAAGCAAACGAGAAGAGGCACGGAAGGTCCAATTTGGTTAATCTGTGCCTTCTGCTTGATTCAAACTGGTTGACTTTTGAGAATTGTGGGCTTTGTTTCAACAGAGTCAGTGAGCTGAGAGTTGTTGAGCTTTTGGATGGGCTTTGCGACAAGATGCAGAGTTATACACTCGAGAAGGTGAGATTTGGAAGTGGATAGTTTGTCTTTCTAATCTTCCACTGTTTGGGAAGCTGTTGACACTCTGCACTAGTCAGATTGTGGCAAGTGCACTAAATTTTTCGAATGTAATATTCGGTCTTGCAGATAGATTCTAGCAGACGGGAGTGGATCAAAGTAAATGACTGGGACACTCTGACGACGAGTAAGTGACTTTTTATAAAGATTATCATAGGACCTTGGAAAGCTTGAAGATTGTTCTTTATTCTGGAGATGACCTTGTTGATTGCAGCTTTCTATCACTTAATCTGATACTGACTGTAGCAATTCTATGAATTTCACTACACCTCTAAGGCGTGTGATATATATTTTCTTTCTACAGACAAGCAAGAAGCTCGAGCGTATTCAAAACAGATGTCATCTTATTGTGGAAGGTAATGCGAAATATTGTCCACTATGACTATATTCCTATTCTATGCTCTAGTCTAGCTTATGCTCGAAGGATTTAAAATGTAGTCGATTTAAGATTTTGGAAGTTTAACCAGTTCTTCGAAAATGGGACAGGTTACTTGAGGAAACTGAAGATGAGGTAAGTAATCCTTAGGTCTGGGAATTTTCTATCTAAATTGTCAATTAAATCTGCAGAATGATGCTTAACACGTTTCATGCTTCTTAATGCTTATTACTGGTGCAGTTGACAGAGCTTATCAAGAAAGGATCAGTTACCGTAGGAGGTGTGAGCAAGGTTCTGTGTCAGGACTTAAGCAAGCACTGCCGATCAAGGTAATCTCCAATTCCAGATCATTCTGTCATAACCCACCTTAACAGCTGTAGGATGCTTACAACCAGAGTTGCAAATAGATGAGTCTTTCTTCTGTTATTTGTTAATGGTACTTAAGGTAGGGACAATACGTGGCAGTTTGAGGTGTACAATACCATATCTCATTACTTGACTTAGAAGAGTCCATCAAATTGTGGAGTCCTGGAGTCTATAGCCTAACTTAAAAGAATCTATACCCCTTGTCCACATCTCAGAGTTAATTTTAGGGGTCTTTTCTTTTGCCATCTCATGATACCCTTTCACAAATGGAAAGTATAAAGACTAAAGTTCTTTCTTTCCACCTATGTATCTCTTTCACTCTTAGTTTTTGCTTGCTGATTGTGATCCCACAAACTGAAAAGAGATGCAGAATCTTCAGACTGCGAATTCCAAATAAAAAGACGTTTCTCTCTGTTTGCAGTGGTTCCCATCAGGCTGATGTTGACGTCGATGACGAACATGAGGAGCTCTGACTTTGCTTTGCGTCAATTAACACCAGGAGGACTAGCTTGTGACGTGAAAGAGATAGAAAGAGTGCTTGGCAGAAGAAATTGATATTTGGCTTGGCTTGGCATGGCTGTCGTGTATGCTAAGCTTGGATAACATAGAGTTTGTAACTTGAAACAGAAATTTGGCTTCCCTGGCTGGCTTTGGTCCGCTAGTTTGTTTCATCTGATGTTTTGTCATATACTTGAGCTTAATGCTTTCCTTAAAAGAGAACATGAAGTTGGATAATGATGACACCAGTACGGAATTCAGCAGCTTGTCCTTTTGATTAAGTTCTTCGTTGGTCTTTTACTTTCCAGTTCCGTTAAATTCTGGCCCTTGTTAAACAGAGGAGACTTTCTTTGCCAAATGCTACCATTAAGAATCAACCCAATGGGGAAAAACTATCTAGTAATTCATGTAGAACAATGATCACCACAAACTCAGGAAAGAACAGGCAATAATCAATTAATTAAATGAACTCTAAAATAAATAGTGATAACATCACGTAGTAATCAAAATAACATTACACCATTTGAAGTAAAAAGGTAAGAAACAAAATGAATTCCATGATTATGTACAATGGATAAATCAAAAATTAAGGCAGCAGGCCAGGAAGCCATGCATCTCAGCCATTCAGAGCTACGAACGTTCTCCCAAATCGGCACAACATTTCCAACTTCATCACAAGGTTCTGCATTTCCAAAGAATCAGAACAATGCGCTCCTGACAATCGCGGGACACCAAGGAAAACGTCCTGTACAAAGGCCATTTGTTTCCGCCCTCCATCTCACGAGTTCCCATCAAGCACGCCCTTGAGCAAGTTCAAACCTTCCAGCGATATGCTCCTACGAACTCTCGTCTGAGGGATCTCGATCCGAGGTGGCGGATCCTGGGAGAAGCAAACAACTATAACCGTCAAGTTATCACATGTGTTTCGCTTCAGTGCTTCCCTGACCAACTCCCTGGAGCACCTCTCAGGATCATTGTGGAGCATGAGCTCTTTCCTTACTATCGTCACTGCACACTGGCTGCTCATCACGTCCCAAAGGCCGTCACACCCCATTATTAAGAACTCGTCTTCCTCGGTTAAGTTTGTTTCCTGCAACTCAGGTTCTGGGCTCAGGGGGCACGCGGACCCCTTGGGACCCTTCATGTGCCAGTCACCTAGTGCACGGGAGACCGACAATTGGCCATTGAGGTAGCCGTCATAGATGACTCCGCCAAGCTTCTCGATTCTTAACCTCTCAGATGTGCAGTTCGGCTTGTGGTCTTTGGACATCTCAATTGCTCTGCCCCTTCGGCCCAGCACTGCTCGACAATCCCCAGCATTGGCAATGATCAGTGTCCTGCAACGGTCAAGAGTCAAGAATAAGGCTTAATGAATAATCCACTCAACGATCAAAACTTTTCGACAGGCTCATTAACAACAATGCAACAGGAGTCACCAGATCACCAAGTACTTGAATCGCGACTTGATCACAAACTGGTCTAATATCTTATGAACTGATGACCAACAGAAAAAGCAGGCATCTAAAACTTCTCATCGTGTTCATTAGTTTCATGAGAGCCAATCATGAGACCGAAGAGCGACCTCCAAGTACTTAAATTCTAGAGTCTGACGAACATTGAAACAACAGGCATCCATGGATGCATCCAACCAACTCAGTCACAACTCCTACTATCCTAGGTACATCAGAAAGAACAGGCAACCATATTTCGATACAAAAAGTTAGCTTTCTCAGCTTCATTAACCTGGCGAACGAGTCTCTCAGCTTCATTAACTTCATTAACAGCATCAAAACAAAATTACTAACTGCCTTCATATCGACCATCTTTCTCTAGGACCATCAGAAAACAGCAACAGATCATTTGAATTGAACAGCTTATGAACTAACCGGCCAAGCATAAGGGCAGTGAGCACGGTGGTGCCAGAGGAGATATCGAGAGAACTATCATCTGCAAAGGTGTAATCAGCGCGCAAGAAAGCACTCTTGATTGCCTTCTCCACGCACATAGGAAACTGGGAGTCATCAACTATGTATCTCAATATATTGTTCCTCACAAACAAAGCTGCATCCGTACCTCCATGGCCATCAAACACCTATTGTAAAGTACAAACTTGACTGCTGTCAACCGGAATTTTCAGAACTGGGAGTTTCTTATGATCCAAGGAGATTAGTATTACTATTACTAACCCCGTAGAAAGCTCCCATGGAGGAGAAGCTGGCAGTGGTTGAACCCAGGTGCTGGTTGAGATCATCAATACATACATGTTCATCCTCCATGTACCGCTTGGGACCTTCCTCGGCGCAACTCCCTGATCGGAAGACCGGCAAAAAATCGGTTTTTTCATCGGACGGCAACTTATTGACGACTATCCCAACATCCATAGCCTGGATAAGAAAAAGGGAAAGAGGGGTTCGAAATTCCAAAACAATTAGGCCACCACAACAAGATCCAGAAACTACCGTTGGAAGGCGGAGAGGGGTTTAGCGTACCAGATCGGCGGCGGCGAGTAGCCTGGCGGAGGGGATGGTGTGGCGGGGAGGCCTGCCATTGGGGATTTGCTTGACGGCGTCGGAATTCTCGTCGGCGCCGGCAGCGGGGGAGAGGTTTCTACTGATATCCTTATTACTACTGGAATTGTTGTATCCACCGCCGTTTAGCATAGCGAAGGGAGGCGAGAAATCTGTGCCGGCAGCCATATCTGCTTCCCGAACATAAATAAACAGAGACGCCCAAAACTTTTGCCGCTCTGTTCCTACCGATGGAAGCAGAAATGGTGGGATGGAATCGAAATCGCGGACGAGGAAATTTTGGGGGTTTCTGTAATCAGGGGAATCCGGCTATGATGATGATTATGATTTTGGTGGTAAGCTTCTTTAGTTCTGCTGCTGATATCTTCTTCTCGTTGTTGTTGCAGAGGCGGTGATGGAGCTTTTGGCTATGGCGGCTTCTGTTTTTCCCTGATTCGTGTGTCAGATGATTCTCAGAGGCGAGAAAAGAACAGAGAGATGGTGAGAGAGAGAAGTCTGGGAGAGAGAGAGGACGGAGAAAAGAATCAAAAAGGGTTGGTTTGAGGGGAAGAAAAGATTTGTAATTTTAACAGTGGAAGGGGAAAGGGAAAGCAGGGAAATTATCGATGATGCAGAGAGACAGAAACAAGGGGAAGGATGAAGAAGAGTTGAAGAAAGAAGGAAGAAAACGAAAAATGGGAGGAGATAGTTGGGGGTTATATATAAAAAAAATTAACATATTCGAAGGTTTGGAACTCAAAATTTTATAATCTTCTTTTTTTTTGGTAGGAAATTTTTTATAATCATTTGATTTCGTTGAATAATTTTAATCATCTAACAAAAAAATAAAAATAAAAAGGGTGTAGGAGGACAGTACAGTGCCACAGTGGTTTGGTTGGGTTTGAGATTCTTTTCCACTTAATGAGATTGAATATAGTTGGTATATGGCAAAATGAAATGAGGTAAAAAGTAATGTTGTCGTTTTAGTTTGGTTTTGTTAATCAAATCGTTAACCATGAAAAATAAAAATCAAATCAGGAAAATTTCTACTGCAATAAAAATCATTAGCGGTATTATTGATTTTCAGTTAATCGAAAACAAATAAGCCTTTAGACCATTTTCAATGGTAGTAAAAATAAGTCAAATCTTGTGGGACAAAATCCCAAAATACCCAACTTGCAAAAAACAATTCTCATAATACCACAAGTACAAAAAAAATTACAAAATGCCTAAGTTAGGTGTTGTTCGCTGCATAGGCGAGCGAACAATAAAGCATTTCGCCTGGCAGCTAAGTGAACCATTTCGTTCGTGAGTTTAGAGAGCGGACTAAATGTGGTTTGCTGGCAGAGGATGTGAGCTAGGTTGGATCGCCTGCTTTTTAAGCGAACTACACTGGTTCGCTCATATTATAAGCGAAAAACTGTTATTTGTTGCCTAGGTAAGCGAACCAATATGAATAATCGATATGTCGACATATTTTAAGTAGTTCGCTTCATAATCTAGTGAACCTCTACCAATAATTTCATTAACTTTCTCTCGACTTGTCTCACGACACGGTACAATGATAGTGTTCGAGTTGAAGTGGATCGCTGGGGTAGACAGTGAACTACTCCTCAGTGAACTAAAATAAATACCGAGCACCCTTTGTTCATTCCTCTCTTCTTTCTGCAAAAACAAACAACAAAAAGAAACAAAAAGAGCAAGAAATTTTCAGCAAAGAAGAAGGTGTCATTGGAAGGAATGTTTGTTTATGTTGGTTGTAACATGGGTTCCATTATCCTTTGAATGTAGATTAGGATTTTGGTTTAATGCTTGGTTGATATATTTAGGTTTAGTTGTACTGGTTGTTATTAGCCTTTGAATGTAGGTTAAATATGTTTTGTTGGTTTTAACATGGGTTACATTAGCCTTTGAATGTAGGTTAAATATGGATTAGAGTTTTGGATTAATATTCTGCTATTTATTTATATTTATGCTTTGAATTATATGTAATTTTTGGTATTGTAAAATGCAAAAATAGGAAGGAATTTCAAAAAGTTCGACCTATTGATTCAGTGGAATTGTCGAGTGACAAGATTTCAGAATAGTGTTGACTATGAAGGTTTTTTTTTTGCCATAGATATTCCAAACGGAACAAACAAGATACGAGTTTATACAAATGGTTACGAAAAACCAAAAACTAAAGAACAAGTAAGGGACGCCGGTCAACCAAAAGTCGAACCCGCGATAAGAGGGCATCTTTTGCCACGATATGGGCAGCCCTATTGTAAGTTGACTATGAAGGTTGTGAGGTAAGCACTATTCGGATTGATATCGGATTTGGTTGGCAGGATCTCTTTCATATTTGTAAGGAACGGTGTTGAATAGGTGGTCATTGAAGAGTATGCAACACTGTGAGAAGGTGCGCGTCTCTCTCCTCTACCTTTCGACCAACACTGTGAGAAGATCCTTGTCAAACTCCATCCCTCTGAAGAATCGCGCACTCGCCAACCCCGCTCTCTCGATTAAAGTCTCTATTCGTACACATCCCATGGGGGCAAGACGGATGTCCCCAATAGGTGATAACATCAAGTTGTTCCCACAAGTTAAAAAGTTAATAATTAGTGTTGAAATAGAAATAATCAATACCAATAATATTGCACGAAATATAAATAATACATTCTAATTATATTGTATGAAATAGAAATAATAAATGCTAATTATTTTGTAAGAAATAGAAATAACACATGCTAATTATATGAAGAAATAGAAATAATAAATACTAATTATATTGTATGAAATAGAAATAATAATTATCGGGTTTGCAGTCTAAACACTTTGGGATCGATAAAAAGGTTGGCCATCCAACAATTCGGGAATTCTCGGACCAGGATGAATATAAATTCTCGTATCATAAATCTCGACTCCCATCTTGTATGGTAATAAAAAAAATCAATCAGAATATGCGAATGAAGAGTTTAAATGCAAAAATTATAGCAATATAGATTAATATATCGAAAAATATAAGAACTATTAGCTTCTTCTTCCATTTGTTTTGCAAATATCAGACATAGGTTGGTTAAAAGTATTTGTAGGTAGGGTAACCACTAATGAAAAGCACATCTATTTAGGAATATCATAAGGCACGTTGCAAAGGCAATGAGACTCCAGATTTTTTAGAATCCTCTCTCCTGTTGCTAACCAAAGGGAGGTTTGGGTCCTTGTTGATGTCGGGGTACGCTATATTGCGCGCTACACTAGATGGGAAGTACCCAAATCCTCTTCACCCGATGTCAGGTCATATGACGTGCTGTGATTGAACTGTCCTAATGGGGACAGTTGCCATATCATCGCATTTAGCTTTGTATCCTAAGGAACCACATGTAGGAGGAGCTGCGATACAATAGCAAAGCGTAAGAAAGCAATGATATAACTCGAATGGCTTTCACCAATATTCAACACCATCTCCATTATTGTAGGTTCCTTGGATAGGGAATCTAGAATGACACTTATGAACTTCAAGGTAGAAGTAGAAAATGGATTGAATTCATAGATGAGTGGATTGAATTGGAGGATTCATAGATTGGATAAAATGGACTGGTGGGTTCATGAATTGGATCATGGATCAAACTGACATCTAAACATTGGACCATTATGTAAATTTTAAAAATTGTAGGTACTAAATGTCATAATAAAAAATGTAGGCACCAAAACATAATTTTTCAATGATGTTTTACATATAAATATAAAATTTTTGTATCATCATATAAAAATAACAAATATAGGCATCAAATTGTAATTTACCAAATATCCATGAATTCACCAATATAATTGGATTTAGATTAAATGGATTAGATTAATTGGATGTTTTAGTGGATTCATGGATTTGATTGGAATGGTGGATTGGATACAATATTGGCCACCAAGGCAGTACTACATGTCCCTCTTCGACTCTGAATCTTTGGCATCATCGGACTTGGCGCCGTCGCTCTCTCCTTCATCCGTAGATGCATGACATTCAGGACCTCACAGCCGTGTTGTCACAACCACCACCTGGAAACGGATCCGTCATGATATTTGAATATCTTCAAGTGGCCAACCTGATGAAGTAAGAATTGAGAAATTCAGCAAGTCCAGAGTAGAGCCACACTATATTTCTGTTAGCACGATCTCTGGTTAACCCAACGAGCCGTACTCTACCGTTTGGGTCTTCTAGACACACCTCATGAGAAATCTCGTCCTTCACAGTCTTGAAAAACTTGTGAGGAAGTATCTGCATGTCGTTCAAGGAAAAAAAAAAGACGAAAAAGAAGAAAAAAACATAGCACGAAGTCAGATTGGGAGTTCGCAGAAAGATTAAGTTCAATGGATTGTTTTTTGTGTAAGAGTAAAAGAGGGTATTACCAGTTTTTTTATCACTATGGCCTCATGACAGATCTCCAAGGTGAAGTTATTGAACTGCCTTCCGGGGGGGGGGGGGGGTTCTCAACAGTAGAGAAGTTGCACGAAAATGGAAAGTAGCTAATTCGGGTCCAAATGTACACATTTTGCCACTCATTTCTTGATAGTTTGACTTTGCATTTCATCGTTCCTCGACATATTTCACGTTAGGTTGTGCTTGTTTTGATACGTTTCAGGTCCTAGCACGTGTGGGAAGGTCGAGGACGAGTTTCGGGTTGATTGGAGGTCGAAAAGTGCCAAAACTGTGACAATTTCCCCGTAACCGTGAATATCGAGGCATCCAGGGAGAAATCTGCAGTTACTACCGCGAGACGAGTTCACGGTCTCTAAGACCGTGAACTTGGAGCACAAACCGTGAACCCAGGAGAGTGAAGCGGTGCGTTTTGGAGACGACGCTGAGTTTACGGACGCATTTAGGTGTTCACGGCCGTGAACTGGCCAACGCGGGTCACTTTCGGGCAAATATGAAGACAACAACGGGGAGAGAGAAAAGGAGAGCTGGTTTTTGGAGAGAAATTCAATTCTCTCTCTAGGGTTTGCCTAAAACATCAAAAGGGGAGTTCTAGTGAGAGCGAGACAAAGAGAGTGCTAGAGTGATCTTGGAGATTGATTGGAGGCTTGGATTGATCTTGAAGACAAGGATTAAAGCCTAGAAGAAGAAGATCATGAGCTCACATTTGTAATCACTCTCTTCTCTCTCTAGAAACTCACCCTCTTCTCTTGGTTTAAGAACCCTAGGTCTAGATTTTGATTTAATGTTGATGTATGTGACAAACTCCATGTTTGATTGATGCTTTTACTTAATTGATGGTTTTTATGAATGGCATGAGTTGGGTTTCCATTTCATGAATTGAGCTTTTGACCTAGGAGAGAGATAATCCCCTTAGTGCCCATTTTTGGCGACTTTGGGGCACTCCTATCGTATATTGTCCGGGTAGTCCCCGAGGGATTTTATTCGACAGGTCTCCTAGCATTATACGAAACCCTAGGTTGAATAGAGCACTACCCATCCATCGATTCGCCGTTCTGGGTCATTCCCGAGGGAGTCCATCTCCAAACGGTAGTGTATTTGAGTCGATCGAGCTAGGAGGATACCCAACATTGATCCAAAGACCGGACCTAGAACGATTCAATCCAAGAGAGCTCCAAACCTTGTAAATAGCTAGGTTAGTGGTTAGTCTAGGTTAGTTAGTTTAATTCTATCAATTACTATCCTA